TAAGTAGTATTCCTAGTGTTTTTACAGGTCTTGAAATAGTGATGTTGCTGGAATTACAGTGCTCTAGCATTTACTTAAAAACTTTTGGACATTTAGTGGCTGTTAGAGTTTAACTAGACAAAATTTATTTAAAGACATTTTAAGATTAACTCATTGTGGTTCTTCCTTACTATTGACACAGCAGTACACTACAGAATATTGTTGGGCATAAAAATGTATTTTTATTTGGATAATTCTACATTTGTGAAACCAATGGAATATTTAGGACTGTTTACAAACATCTTCATCTTACCTGAAGCTATTTCCAACTTTTTCATTTATGTTTTTTTTTTTTTTTTAAATACATTTTAAAAAAATTTTGGATTTTGGATTCTAATATTTTTTCGATACTAATTTTAAGACCACACACACACACACACACAGACACACACACACACACATATATATATATATATATATATATATATATATATATATATATATATATATATATATATATATATATATACAAACACACACAGAAAATTTTATAATGGTGCAAATTCAAAATGGTTTCCCAACATTTCAGGCTAAGCAAGTTCTTCATCTGGGGAAATATGTATGTATGTATGTATGTATGTATGTATGTATGTATGTATGTATGTATGTATGTATGTATGTATGTATGTATGTATGTGTGTGTGTATGTTTGTGCGTCTTTGTGTGAAGCCTGATATTCAACCTAAACTAGCCAGTGTGGTTCTAATGACAACTCTTAAACAACTATTGATTTCAAACTGTTAATCATAATTTTGTCTAAATTGCCCAACTTGACAGTGTCATGAAAAAACTTGCTTTTAGGACAAATTCAATACCTAAGATAGGGCTGTACTCAAAACGTGTAACATCCTTTTAGGACAAATTCAATACATAAAACGGGGCTGTACTCTAAACTTGTAACATCTTTCTAGAACAAATTCATTTCTTAAGAAAGGACTGTACTCAAAACGTGTAACATCTTTACATAAGACAGGGCTGTTCTCAAACACTCCGCTCTAGCACGTTGCACCATTCTGTTTTCAAAAGAGAGTACACATTATAAGGGAAATAACTCGTATGATGTTAATGTGAACTGGACTTAGTACGTATGCATTACGGTACATCTCTTCTTAAAATAGATTTTCTCCATTAACTTTCTTGCAAGCACATAATGTAAATATACAAGTCCTTATTTCATACTTTGCGCACTAAAGTCCTAAATTTACTACAAATAAAATTTGACTAGCTAGAATTTTCTGCGTTATGCATGCAGAATCAATAATGAGACACATGAAGCGATTCCTTATTATAGGAAGGGTCAGCTTATCTAGGCATCACTAGCAATAATTTAATCCAATGAATTATTTAAAGTTCTGTCTGTCTGTCTTTTTCTACTCTTTTTAATGCTGCATCACTGTCCTAGGAATTAACCTACATTCATATTTAGGAGATATAGTCTTTCAAATACACTGGTTGTTGTTGTTGTTGGGCTTAACGCCATTTTTCAGCACACGATAGGCTATTCATGGCGGCCAGTATTAATGGTGGAGGAAGAAACCGGGAAATCACCAGAAAGAACCACCGACCCACGAGAAGCTACTGGCAAGCTTTCTCACATATCTACATTCGCCGAATCCTAGACTCGAACCCACGCAGACAGAGGTGAGATGGCAGTGATCCGTAACGGACAGCGCTTTAGACCACTCGGCCACTCGGGGCCCCTCAAATACACTGGTTTCTTAACACTTCTCCCTCCTTCTATGTGTCTGATAGTTGTCTGGAGATCCAAAATGATTATTCAATGGTTGTTGTCCGTTCATCTTTGGCCTAGTCTTACTCCGAGATATAATCTTTGCACCTCTATTGCTATTTTCAAGTTTTTGTGGTGCATGAATTTATGTTTCTGTGTTGCCTGTTTTAGACAGCATGAGTATATATGGTGTTCGCGATTTCGAGGATGTTGGATGTAGGTCCTGAATATAAGGGTCTATGAAATTTTCATTTGTAGCTCGCAGATGCTTGCTTTCTGTTTCTGTGATACACGCCACTATCTTCTGTCCGAATCTTGTAAGGTTAACTTCTTGTCTTGGAACAGTTTTTCTCCTGGTGCTGTTGTCTCTTACTCCAGTTACCATTTTGTCTCGCAACAGTCCAATAAATTACCATAGTTATACGTTTGTTCTAGTGACCTTAGCGCAGCGACGTAGGCATCAATGCTCTCGCCTGCTTCATGTAGTCGACAATCGAAATTGTACCGCACACAGGTTTCGTTTGATTTTTCTATGCAGTTCTTTTAAAAACTTGTCTAGCATTTTCTCAGATTTATCTCTGTCTCCATCAATTTCAAATGTAAAGGTACTGAACAGTTATTTGGCGTCTGGCCCTAAACACGTAAGAAGAGCGGCTATTCTCTGTTTTTGAGCTTTTTCTGCCAACCCCGTAGCTACCTCATTGTTCACCCATAGTCTTGAAATTTTACATTTCACAGATAAATTTCTCCGAAGCTTTAGTTTCCGAGGAAAGGGTATTGATGATGTAGGCGAAGTTGCCATCCTTCTGACACCATGTAACGTCTTTCTAGGACAAATTAAATACATAAGACAGGGCTTTACTGAAATACCTTCAATCAGTCCCTTCTAGCACATGTTACACTATTCTATGTTTTAAAAATAGAGAAAAACAGTAATTAAAGAAATAATTCGCACGACCTTACTCTGAACTGGATTAATATATGTATGCATTACATTACAAAACAAAAAAAAAAAGTGCCAAGAAAATATAACAAGCAAAATAGGTGTAAACAATGTTTGGTTGGATTAATATAAGCCGAATCCACGTGACTGCACTCTTCCTTCAATATTTATTCCTTTTTCTCTCACTCCTCACACTCACGCACACACACGTGCATTAAATATTTGTAGTCTGTAAAAAAGTAAATTGTCTACTTTCCTTTTTGGCTGCGGCCAACGACTTCAAGAAAATTTTGGACAGCACTGGTCTTTCCTTAAGAGATCAAGTCTTTACAGTAAGTGATCAACTTTTATTTTAAATGATAAGTTAGATATTGGAGAGAACCATTTCAAATCACCCTTGAAAAAAGACAATATCACCTGGAAACTCAACCTATTAATGAAATTTATTATCTAGAACAAATTCAAGAAACTTTAGTAAATTTCAAATTTGTAAATTTCAAATTTGTATACCAGAATAAGTCAGTTGAGGGAATGTGTTGGGAAACAAAATGGAAGGTGTGAAACTAAAATCCAGGGCAAAACGGATTACAGAAGGATTGTGAAATAGAAAATACATATGTAAACTGATGTGCAATTTATTAAAATCCAGTGGAAAATGTACTAATACTGTTAGAAACTTGAAAAGAAACCCTGTGCATATCATCACATGGATCCAGTTGATATTAAATCTCACATCAGTTATAAAGATATTCCTAAAGTAGACAGTGGACAGAAAGAATGGCCCTGTAACTTTAACCAAAACAACTACAAGCCTAAAACCCTTGCCAAAACAACTTCAAGCCTAAAACCCATCCCAAAACAACTACAAGCCTAAAACCCTTGCCAAAACAACTACAAGCCTAAAACCCATGCTAAAACAACTTCAAGCCTAAAACCCATGCCAAAACAACTACAAGCCTAAAACCCATGCCAAAACAACTACAAGCCTAAAACCCATCCCAAAACAACTACAAGCCTAAAACCCATGCTAAAACAACTACAAGCCTAAAACCCATGCCAAAACAACTACAAGCCTAAAACCCATGCCAACACAACTACAAGCCTAAAACCCATCCCAAAACAACTACAAGCCTAAAACCCATGCTAAAACAACTACAAGCCTAAAACCCATGCCGAAACAACTACAAGCCTAAAACTCATGCCAAAACAATTGCAAGCCCTAAACCCATGCCAAAACAACTACAAGCCTAAAACCCAGTAAAACAACTACAAGCCTAAAACCCATGCCAAAATAATAAAACTGGCTGATTAGATGGGTTTACACTTGAGATTTTCAAATTATTTTGGAAAAAAAATATTGGTCTATTTATGAATCTAGTTTATTTCTATGCCATTCACAGTACCTTTCCAGTGGGTTATTGTGACTAACGAGTTCAGATATGCTTCCAGGGTTGAATCGCGTGATTCACACAAAATTTGTATGAATACATGCACTTGGAGATCGGCTACGAGCGAGAACTCCTGTAAGCTAGTGTCGAGAAAATTTACTATGCGCAGTATACAATTTTAACACATTGTCGCGACATAAGTAAATCAGGTAGAAATATTGTAGTGCTTGTCGCAATGTATATTTCCCCATGATTATTTATATATCTGTCGTCTTCAGATTGACATAACTGGTAGTTAACTAAATTTGATTGGCACATTGGGCTCCTTAACATGCCCTCTGTCTTTAACTTGAATCTTGCATCAAGGAAGTTTTACAAATGTATGTTTAATAATATGGTCTGTCTAGAGGACCCAAAATGGTTAATTTCCAGTCTGGTAAATAGCTAATTCCCAGTCTGGCTAATGGCTAATTCCCAGCCTGGATAATTGCTAATTCCCAGTCTGGCTAATGGCTAATTCCCAGTTTGGCTAATGGCTAATTCCCAGTTTGGCTAATGGCTAATTCCCAGCCTAGATAATGGCTAATTATCAGTCTGGTTCATTTTTAGATCTAGAGGACCCACAATGGCTAATTCCCAGTAAGGCTCATATTTAGATGATGTGATGTGATTATGATTTTTAACGTAGCTTTAACAATTTTTCAGTCATATCGCTACGATATCTGCAGTGTGGCAGTTTATAGTGATGTCTAGCACTGGGGCAACATGCCGCAGACATGTAGCATGATGTCCCACCCAGTCACATTATCCTGACACCAGGCCGAACAGTCCTAACACTAACCTCTTAATGCTGAGCGTCAAGCGAGGCAGTTGTTAGTACTATTTTTGTAAGTCTTAGGTATGACTCGACCGGGGATCGAACCCACAACTTCCCGCATCGGAGGCGGACGCTCTAACCATTAGGCCACCGGAGCGGTCATGTTTGGATGATGATTTGGCAAGTACTTGTCTGCATTTAAAGAAGATGCTAACAGTATTGAACAATTAAGAAGATGCCGACGGCACTGAAGTAATTTCCTAGGTTATTACTTTTGATAATCGTATTGTGACATTTAGATTGGATGGATATATATATATATATATATATATATATATATATATATATATATATATATATATATATATATATATATATATATATTGGTATAATATAAAACTGAATTGTGTTAACGGTCATGGTCGACCAGGTACTAAAACAGCAACATAATTTTTCTTTTAATTATATATAATAAATAAAAACATACTCGTTTTTTAATCATTGACATTGTTGATGTTTAGCTCTAGTTTAAATTCTCCCAATATTCCTACAGCGACACCTGTATACAATTTGAACGGCTGACCCAGTTGTCTTCAGTATATTTTCACTATTATATGACCTACACATAAGCACGGGACACATCAAATTAAGTTGGGGTCGAATTGTCTTGGGGTTGAATTGTCCAGGCTGAATTGTATTTGGGGTTGATATGTTAACGGGTTGATATGTTTTGGAGTCTAAATGTCTTGGGGTTGAAATGTCTATGATGTTCAGCAAGCTAAAATTTGCAATAGATTTTCCATTGTGAGTTATCTTTAACAAATTAGCTCGAGTTTTCTTCCATTCATAGTAGATTTTACAATGTGAGTTGTGTTTTACAAACTAGTTTATTTCTATTCAGATCGAAGTTAACCTTCCAATGGGAGTTATCGCCAAGAAATTAGTTTTATATCTATTAAATTCACACTAGAATTTCCAACGTAAGTTCAGTATATTAAATTAATCTAGCAAATTATATATTTGTGATAACATTGCTAAGCCCTTTTAAAATATGCATTGGGTTACGACTATATGGCCATAACATAAATAACAAAAAAGACTGAACATCACAAGTGTTGTAAATTTGAAAATAAAATTTATTTCCCTAAAATACAAAGAGAAAAAGCAAAGATAACTTACAATATAACGAATGGAATCCATAAGTCCTAAATGTTCTATCAATTTTAATCAGAATGAGTTCCAGTGGTATTCCAAATGATGTTCTGTAATGTACTGATATATCAACAGTAGAAAATGATCACTTTGGTGTGATCCCAAAATTGTTTTAAAAATAAAAGTAAATGAATTCACAGTAATTCAGTAACATATATTAAATATCAAAATGATTTTAAATGACTGTTCGAGCACTGTAATTCCAATGAATGTTAATTAAATATGCGAACCCTCTCAATATAACTAGACTAATAGTACAAATCTGAATGCCTATTTCAACGTAATACTTCGCTTATACAGATAACAAATGCGCAATACAGAATATTTCACAATAGATCATCTCAAATGGCATGTGGGGTACACTATTACCTAATCAGGAATTAGATCAGCCTGCCTTTCAGAAATCATGCGCTAAAGTAAGGTTGCGTGATGTTTACTTCGGATTAATGGTGCTATAGTGTCGAGACAAGAACTTGGTTGGCTTGTTCTGAGATTTGATTTTGTTTTGAATATTGCAGAGATATTACTGTTGTTTTTTGAAACTGAAATTGCACTTTGGTTTGACATTTTCTTTTCTCTGGTATTTTATTTTCACACCAGTGGAACATTTATAGCGAGACTAATAAGCTTTCGCCAGGACATATAAAGTAAAGAACTTTGTCCCAGATCCTACCCAGGAAGAGTTGTATTCTTTAGAAAAGTGTGTTGCATGAGCTTGCCAAATAGTATGATATTTCTGAAGCAAAGGCTATGTAATGAAGCAAGAAGTCAAAAATATTTTTGATTTATTATGTGGTGAAAAGGGGTATTCTTGATGTTTGGGTTTGATAAGGAAGTCTCTATCTGGTTCGTACGTGAAATTAAGGTAATTGCAGTTGAAAGCTAGATGGAAGTGAAGCTAATTAACAGCTTCATCTCGGCCGTAAATGAAATGCAGAAAAAGAAGGAAACTAGAGTTATGTAAATGCTGAGAGAGAGAGAGAGAGAGAGAGAGAGAGAGAGAGAGAGAGAGAGAGAGAGAGAGAGAGAGAGAGAGAGAGAGACAGAGAGAGAGAGAGAGAGAGAGAGAGAGAGAGAGAGAGAGAGAGAGAGAGAGAGAGAGAGAGAGAGAGAGAGAGAAAGAGAGAGCATTTGATTTTGTCATTATAACGTGCATTTATTGGCAAAGCTATTGAGGTCTTCATTTCAACCTTGGTAGAACAAAGGGATAACGACAATAATGTGTTCAAGGATTTATGTTGAAGGAGTATGAGTGAAAGGTTTAGAAATTGTAGAAAGACACTTGTCAGTCTCGTGTTGGGGAAAAAGAGCAACTGTTTAATAGATGGCACACAGACAAGAATGTGGACAAAGTGTATGATAACCAGACAACTCATATTGATTGATGTGTTCAAGAATTGCATTCTTAGTGACACTAAATCCTACTTTGATGTGAAAAAGGTTGAAATGGTCGCATATCACTTGTTTATAAATCTTCCTCGGCAGGTTTTTGCTATAAACAAAATTCAGTCTCACGAGAGTACTTAGTTTTTTATTAGTGTTTTTTTAAAAATTCAAACTGGTGAAACTATTAAGAATTCAACACCTGAGAAGTCCAATCAGAAATCCTTATATGCTGCTACTTGCATGCATTGTAAGAAGAAATCGCAGGTAATGTTTGATTGTTACAGGTTGAAAAACAGAAAGTAGAATAAAGACAGAGATGTTCCAAATGCTCTCGTTTAGATTCTTCTTTTTGGAGTAGAGTGCGGATTTAATGTTCCTATCCATTTTGCTTATCTTTCATCAGACGTAGTTTCAAGACTCGTGATTTCTTTGCCTCATGAATGTGTTCATTTGTTACAAGGTTATGACGTAAATGGGGGATAAGGGTGTGCTAAATCAACTTGTAAGCCTTGTTTTGAACAAAGAGTTGATCTTGTTAAAATTGAAATCTCTGGTTTTTATACTGCTTGTACAGTTACTAGAGCTATGGTAAAGAAAGCCCTTGAGAATGATGTTGTTCCTAGTACGTATCAATCAAAAAGTAATGATCACAGTGATATTCTTTTTACTACTCATTGTCCTAATTCTTCCTGTTATTTTGTGAAAATGGGGTCCTTATGAGTAAATGGAGGCCACCTAATGTACCCGCTGGTCATGAGTGAAAGGACGCTATCACATTGTTGTTCATAAAAAAAAACTTCATCTAACTTATGAAATATATTTGTCTGATCATTTAGGAGTCAGTTAAGACTTATCACTTTTATTGGCCGATAATTACTTTAGCTCTTAGAACACTTGCCAGTGGTAGGAAAATCCAACCAGAAGATATCTAGAGCTCGTTAGTCCTGCATTTGACTAACCATTCTGTAGAACAATGTAAATTGTGTCGGTCCATTACCTAAGACCAAGTTAGGCAACCAATGCTTTTTTGACCAAAATGTTTGCGTCCACATGATTTATAGAGGCTATTCCTTTGAGAATTATAAAAAAACCCAGGAGAATATCAAAAGCTATTATAAAGATTTTCACACTTTTTGACCTTCTCAATTCTGTCAAATCTGCTCAAGGTTTCGAATTTTATGTCTTGAATTTTCCAGCAAGTTATGCATGAGTTAAATATTATGCATATTATCCTGAACGTCAAGGAGCTTTGGAAAGATTTTATTATGATTGGGTCGTATTCCTTAGACACATGAAATATTCGGAACGAGTGTGTTCATTTCTTGTTGTCTACTGTTAGGGAATCAGTTCAGAATCCTCTTCAGGGTAAGTATTATAGTCCTTATAAAGCAAAAACGTAAGTGATTAAACTACATTATAAATACATCTGGAAGGAGGAAAGATAAAATTTGCCATGTAAATGTGCCAAACAATGTGTAAATATAGATAGCCCTAAAAAATATCAATCCATTTAGTTGCAGCTGTCCCATCCAGTAAGGTTTTAAACGACGACATGAAATCAGATCGAAGAGATTACCAAAATCTTTAAAATTCAAAAATATTTAGAAACTTTTGCATCGGATGCCACAAGAGAAGATCGAATTAAAACAGCTTTTAAATGAATAAGAGCACTTGGTTCCAGATGATCCAACACAAACATATAAATTATAAAATGACGATGACATTGATGTTTACTTCGGTGTAATATGACAAATGAACGTTGAAATTTTATAATCAATTTATGCACTTGATCAAAGAATGACCCATTTTTAGAGATCGAACATATGATCAATACGACATTTATCATTGAAAATATTAGGAACAAAATTTCTGTCACAAAATATATTCATGAACATAATACACACAATATATAAACAGGTACTCACAGACTTAAGTAAGGGTTACGTTCCAGGGACCTCAACGAATATATAGAAACAGATATCGACATAAGTAAGGGATTGTATACATACATCCTAGTTCCTGGGACCTAAAGAATGTCACTTTTTGTGAAAGTTGGGTTTTATCAGGATACGTCATGATGAACGGTAGCTTCAGGTAAAACACAACAAAAATATCTTTAAAATTATGAAAAAATGTACGAAATATAATTTAAACATGTACAAGAGAGGAGAAGGGGAACTATATGTATACATAAGAATTATAAACTATCTTAATATACATTCCATAATTTGTACAGGTTATAACTTGCTCATGAAATATTTTTTGATTGGTCTTTATCATTCAGAATGTGTCATTGTATAACAATGATGCATTTTTAGGTCTTCTTAGTGTGCAGTTAATTATGACTTAATGTTAGCTGGTAGATTCTTCTTGCATCTGAATAAGAACTCCCGACAACAAAAATGTCACTGCTATTGTTAAAACATATGACACTTGGATGGCTAGAAATACCTTGTGTGATGATTCGAATCGGAGTTCCATCCGATTCCAATTGATGGATGTTGTGTGACAAGCATCCCGCCACATAGACGTTATCATCCTTGTCTGTCGAAACACCCTCAGG